GCAGCACAGACAATCACTCCAGCCTGGATACTTCAGGTTGTGGTTGCGCCGCTTTGCGACTCAGCGTCTACGCCGATCGTGAGCCAAGAGAACTGGTCCGCTTAGTCAGGATTTCTGTTGCGCGCCAAAGAAACAGTTGTGACATCTAATCCTTCAATCCATGTCAGCTTATATGCACCGACCATTGGGCATATCGCGGTCAGAAATCTCGCGTATGACGTCCATGTTGAAAGTGGATGAGCGAACCATACTGAGAGCGGACTGCTCTGCCTCAGGAAGGATTCGGAACCACATCTGCCTATTTATATGAAACAATCCATCCAACCGGCGTTGTCCTCGTGGTGCTGACACTGCAATCCTGCACGAGTGGGGAAGTGCTTCTATTTGCGACAAATTGAGAGACCGGGGAAGAGGAAGAATGGGTTGCGTTCGATGAATCCGCTGGGTTCTTCCACCATGAGATGTGCCAGACGAGCATGCCGTAAAATGGCTGCTGTCATAAACCCTAGTTATCGGCTGCCCACCGACCACGCGATACGGCTTCGATGCTTCTAGCCTTTGCGCTAAAGTACACAGACTGTGCCCTTCGAACACAGCATAGCCACGACGATCCGTTCGATTGTTTGACACAGTCAGCTGTGTCCACGACCTCATCGCCATTGATTCCTGCTCCTCGCATTTGACAGTGTATCCGCATAGTCAGGGTCGTAATACGCTCACCGAGTGGTCTGGGGGTATTGGTTTGCTATCTGATCGAGATGAGCGCTGGAGATGTCAGATCTGGGTCTCGTTGGGCATGAAGAGAGTTGTGTAATGTTGAAATCGTGGCCAACACCCACCAATGTGGGTAAAGAGTACGAGACCGCTTTGTCTGGTGTCAGCAAAAGCGAAGAGGCAGCGCTGTGCCACCACCAAGAACGAAGGAATCGAGAACCTAGTTTTGAGTTCGAGATGAAACAGCCGACAAGAATTCAAAGTTCGAAAGCAAACCCATAGAACAAGAACTTGACTACCAGTCCTCTTTCGCGCAGGCTGAAGGAATGAACCGGTCAAGCGGATAGCCTGACACGTATGTCTTGCTCGCTGGTTCACGAGCAATGATGGCAACGATGGTACAGCTGCAGCATACTCTTGATAAGCGGCTCGAGCGAGCAAAAGTGTTTGAATTCGATGTTTGCTGCGAGTTGTTGATATTAAAGGTACGGAAAGATTCTGGGTTTAGTATTATAGACAGGCGACAGCGATAGATATGGGTCTTTCGTCAATGGTAGTTGTGAAGGCAGCACAGAATGTCCTTCATTCAAGAACGAAAGACCGCAACAAAGACTCGTAAGAACATGGATGGGATCTGACAATTGTCATGGATCACGCGTGGCAGCCCGAGGGCGAGGGCCTTCTCCTCGTTTTCTGACAGCGTCGAACTTCGCTGCAGGTCAGATTTTAGTCTACAATGCTGACCCTCAACTGGAGCCGGCAGGAGCGGACTCGGAGTCGGGAGGCGGAGACACAAACGGAACCAGCCATCATCGGATCAGACGTGTGCTGACTGCAGCATAGATAGACTAGATAGCAACGTGGTCATCAAGGTAACTCCACTAAGAGCAAAGTCAAGGCAAATCTTATGTGCGTCTAGCGTGGCCCCCAATTTTCTAGATTAATCGCAATCGGGGTTCAATGTGAACACTCTACGAATGCAAGCCGGTGTGACGCCAGTCCCCTTCCCCCCCCACAGTCTTGCATTCTACACGCTAGTGGTACATGTGTCGGAATTCACTAGAAAGTGACGATCATGACTTCATTGATTCGGAGCCCTGTGTGTCTAGATTCCTATCGTTGTTGTTGTTGCAGTAGTTTCAGTCTTGGCCGGTGACCTTTCAACAGACCATCCTGTCTGCACGCGCACCTCTCCTGGCTCTAAGGCAAAAACGGAGCCTGGTTGCTGTGCTTGTCCTGTGGCCTCCGTCCAGCAAAACCCAAGTCCTCTCATCATCGATCGCGACGACTGAATCGAGCCTGTCTCTGCCAGCGTGGCTTTCGGCTTTAGTGGTGCGCTACTACCGCCTGTAGTCAGAGTCCGCATCGACCCCAGCAAATAAGAACTGTCCTTGGGGTGGCTGAGCGAAGGGTTCGCGCCAGAACGCAGAGACTGGCAAAGACCCAAGCAGGCAAACACTGGTGCTAGGACGCATGCATTGGCCACGATGATTGCTGCTGTCCACTCAACGGTGAACCAGACCACAACCATTTTGCCTGCCTCGTTGAAATTGCTCAGGTCGGTTTTCGAAAGAGCCACGGTCAGTAAAATGGCAATGGCAACAGCACTAATCAGTTCCTCAATTAGAAGTGTTGCGTCTGACACGCTTTCATTGTACAACCCAAGGTATACATACAAAACTCCAATTCCATAGACGCCAGCAGTTGCCAGCTTCTGGGACCGCGTCGGGTTGGTTCTAAGCAAGTACGGCAGTGGCAGAACCATGATGACGAAGCTCGTCACAGAATCGATGATACCAAGACCCAGTAAGACGTGGCTTTGATTCACGCAGTGTCCTTCTCCAAGATTCGGGGTCCAATTGTATTTGAATGGATGGCAGGCCAGAAATGCGAGCAGAAACCCTGACAGGCTCCAACAGGCACATATTACCATCGTCGTCCACACGGCGAACCGAAAATGGCTAAGGGGAGTGATGAAGGTCTTCTGAAGGGCTTGCAAGAGACTGCATTTCACCAGGCCTAGCCCTATGAGGTATGCCAGTCGAATATAATAGATGCACTGCGAAACGGTCAGTATGCCCTAGTACGGTACGGGATGGAATGGTAAGACTATCTACCTTGAAGGCGATGCTTAGCCGCCAGGCTGGCGTTTCCGATGTCCGATAGCCGATGTGGCCGATGGTCGAAGCTGAACAGATGGGGGATTAGTATCTAACTGATTGCACCATATATGGACCCGTTGCCATACCCAGAAAGACCGTCACCGCACTAGAGTAGTATAAAATCTGAAACCGCACCGTTAGCTCGATGAACAGCTCAAGGCGCATATTATACTCGGTGGCTTACCAAAGATAGAAGTGCTAAATAGTCCGATGCTTGGAAGCTCTGCCTTCGCATAATTAATGTGTAAAATCGAAGTCCCATGGTCATGGTCACTAGAAAGAGACAGAAAGCCAAGGTGATGGCAATGTCTTTTCCATCACCGGAAAGCCCCGTGCACTTGTCAACAGCATCTCCGAGGGTCAACATGGTGTGTCGCGAGGATTATGGGAGGTCTTTTCGTCCAGGGATCCGTGAGGACGAGACATTGAGGGACTCGGTGACGGTTATTGGCTCCCAAGCTTCAGAAAAGCTGCCTGGCAAGGGGCATGAGGGGAAGGAAGAATAAAGAAAGGTTAAAGGAATCCATGTCCATATTAAAGTCTTCAAGTTTCCGATCGAGAATTCCGGCCCCCAAGCTCTTTCCAGAAATTGGGCTTTGTCGAGGAGTAGGGCAAAGGACGAGCTGCAGCGTGGCGGATCACCTTGCAGCGGTCACACATACGCGCGAGGGGGCCGATGCTGAGCCACGAGGCCAGGCAGTGATTCCTTTCTTTGCCTGCAGGATGGCGGAATACTAACCATTTTACTGCTGACAGCCGACATGGGTTAATTAAATAAATCCTCCCCTTTTCTTAGTTGAAGAGTTCTGCTCGTAGCAACGAAGGTACTTTGTAGGTGGGCTCACTGCACCGGCGGACTAGCCTGGGATTTACCATGACACACACACTAGTTGACTATACGGAGTCTCCGGAGCGAGCAGATCGTTGCCAAAATCATACGCGATGTTGCACAGAGTAGTAAGCACGAATAAGTACGAGAGTTCGGTCTTAGATGAGAAGAACATAAGCCTCAGAGAGGTCTTTCACACTGTATGGATTATTCCGCATCGGATCAGCATCAGCAAGAAGTGTGCTATTATGTGCAACACGCTGTAGGTAAAAGACTGTGCATGGCTCGCATGTATATGAAACCATAGAGATACATAGTAGCACCCGAGCCGGGCCAGACACATATTCTTCCCAGTAAACCTTCAATCCCAACTCCGAACCCCCGCCTCCCAAAACACCAGGATGGTAGACCAGAAAAATGACATAGAAAATGGGTTGAACAACCAGCAAGAACTTGGTGTAGTTCAATGACTATCTGACTTAAGTAATCATTCCTCTACACAGCCTATCCGTGGACTCGATCGTTCAGATGCACCAACGAGGAAAAGCTGGCAGAACAACAACTCGGCCAATTGACCATTGCCTTGTATAAAACAATAGAACTCATTACGACCCATCTATTTGCTGAGTACTGAGCATGTCAAGAGAGCGTGAATTTACACTCACAGCTCAAGGTGCCGCTGCAACTGTCTACTATCCACCGTAGCATTCGTCAGGGCCACGAGCACGATCAGTGGCGACACATATGTGATGTCATATAGGAGGTCGAACTGGATCTTGAGCTCATCACCCTCGAAGACATAGTTTGAGCAATCCAAAGCAGAGACTAGTATGACAATGGTCGAAACAACTGGAGAGTATATTTCATTGTTGAGTCAAGCCGTTGAAGCTTCCGAGTCTTTGGCTTTCAATACAATTCCAAGCTTCCCAGGGAAAGAATGGATGCCATTGGGCCTTAAGGAAAAAGTGATGACGGCGGGCGGTCGGCCGTGGAAACGGAGGGTACTGGCAAAACCAGCTGTTACCGAGCCCTACTGGTCACAAACCCCACCTTGATGAGGGCAAAACGCTGGCGAAAGCGGGCCAAAGCCCCCGCCCTGGTTATTTCGTAATGGGTAATACCAAGCAGGTGCACACGACTCCATCGAGCGACTAAACTAATTGAAGGTTCTCCAGCTTCTGCTCCAAGTCCATTTTCCCTCTTCTCTCTACTATTCCGCAAGTCTTACTATCCAGAACTCCTATTAATCTATCGTTTCCTCGTCCCCAGCGCGAGGATACTCTAATTAGCACACAATGGCTGAGACCCAGGCTCCCGAGGTTGGTATGTATTCACCATTGTTCAATACGCTGGCTGGCTGCCCCTCCTCTTTCTTCCTACCAATTTGAAAAAGCTCCTCCGGCGTTTGTGGGTTCCCGCTTGGTTTTCATCGTCATGGATCGGGCTGCGTTTGACGGGCTGCGCTGCCACCTCGATTAACCCCTCAATCGCGACCTTCGCATGGCTGCCTCAATTACTACTCCTTGCATTCTAGCACGCTCTGCGATGCTACTCACAACTGCTTGCCGTTTTCTTGCGCACAACTAGCCGCTGACACGATCATTTCTAGACTACACCCTCAACAACCCCGACACCCTTACCAAGTACAAGACCGCTGCTCAGATCTCCCAGAAGGTCTTGGAAGCCGTTTCAGGTGTGTCTCTTCCTGCCGTTTGCCTCAAAAGCGGGCTGTCGCATAGTTCCTCGGGGGCGGTGCTAACCCGAATGTATAGGATGGTGTGTTGAGGGAAGCAAGATTGTCGAGCTCTGCCAGAAGGGTGACCAGCTCCTCGAGGAGGAGATTGCCAAGGTCTACAAGGGCAAGAAGATCGCCAAGGGTATGTTGTCTCTGCAAGTGAATTATCTAGAGCATGATGGTTGACGCGACCTCGTCGCAAAAGGTATCTCTCACCCTACCACTGTCTCTCCCAACTCCTATGTGACTCCCTACACTCCTTTGGTGTCCGATGCTGCCGAGGCCGAGACTACCCTGAAGGCTGGTGAGGTTGTTAAGATCCAGCTGGGTGCTCAGATCGATGGCTTCGGAACCATTGTTTGCGACATGGTCATTGTTGCCGACAGCAACTCCTCTTCCGATGAGGTGACTGGCCGCGAGGCTGACCTGATTCACGCCACCCACTATGCCAACGAGCTTCTCCTGAGACTGTTGGTCCCTGCCGGTCTTCTGGCCAGCGGTACTGAGGAGGAGAAGCAGAAGGCCGCCGCCCAGAAGCCTTACACTCAGGCCCAGATCACCCAGCTCATTGAGAAGGTTGCCAAGGTCTACGACTGCAACGTCGTCGAGAACACCACCAGCTGGCTGTTCCAGCGCAACGAGATTGAGGGCGAGAAGAAGATCATCCTCTCTCCCGGCACTGGTGTCAAGGGTGAGGGTCTTCCCGACGTCGGCGAAGTCTGGGGTATTGAACTCGGACTGTCCCTCGGATCCGGAAAGGTCAAGACTCTTCCCCACCGTGCTACTCTGCACCGCCGTACCACCACCACCTATGGCCTCAAGCGCCCTAGCTCTAGACAGACCCTGTCTGAGGTTGTCAAGAAGTTCGGCACCTTCCCCTTCAGCTTGCGTCAGCTGGATGACGAGAAGGCCGCGAAGGTTGGTGTCGTTGAGTGTGTCCGTGGTGGTGTCCTGAGACAGTACGAGCCCGCCGGTGATGCTGACAACGCTGCCGTGTCCCGTGTGCTGTCTACCATTGGTATGAATCCCCTCTCTCCACTCTCCCTTAGCAATTGATTGGTGACTGGGGTAATGGCAATTCAAAACTGAAACTAACCCTCAATGCAGCCATCACCAAGAACGGTATCACCCGTCTTGCTGCTCCCACCACTCCCGATCTTACCAAGTTCAAGACCGACAAGAAGATCGAGGACGCGGAGATTCTCGAGATCCTTGAGCGTCCCTTGGCCAAGTCTACTGGCTCCAAGAAGAACAAGAACAAGAAGAAGAAGGCCGCCAAGACGGAGGACTCCAAGGATGAGGAGTAAATGCATTGTTGCATCAGGCCTCACTTGACGCAGTTCCGGGAACCGCGTTTTGGCTCACATAAACGCATATGACAACTGTTCGGGGAGAGTTTTGGTGGCTCCAAAGCCCTGGCAATGTCCGCCATGATGGTGCTTTGTTTTGAAAATCGGAGCCCGTTGGGCCATCTCCGAGACCGGAGGGTTGTTGTCGCCATGCTGAACGCCAGAGACAAGTCTGTGGGAGGACCACGTCTCCCTCGCAGTTCCCTGTTGAAAACATGCTGTCACATAAATTAGTTCAAAAAGAGGAAGAGTTGTATATGTCCAGTGAAACCAAGCCAGATACAATTCACCAATGAAGATTATGATAGCTGGTGTCAGCCAGTTCCTGCCAAGCTCCTTGACTCTGGGCCTTATCTGTTCTATCTTAGTTGTGGCTCAGACAGGTTTTATGCCAACTCAGGTATGTAGTTTGAAATCTTCGAGAGTTGAGAGCAGTAGTTACACAATTTCATTTTTTGAGCTAGGTTAGGATAGTGCTGAGCACACACATTTGATTGACCCTTCATCCTTCCCCCTTTGCATGGCCTGTGGGTCAACATTTTTTCGGCGCTGAAGTGCATCTAGCTGCATCTTGGCTCACTATCTTGACAAAGACCTATGAATTCCTTCTGAGAGATTCGCTGGTTCAGCCCATGATCGCGCCTGTCCACCAATTTGGGCAGGACGTTCCGGAAGCGCTCATGTTGAACAACAACCACATCCTAACACGGCGTGATATCACTCTGACTGTCAGGGAGGCTAATAGTATTGGAGGGAATCCCTACGGCTTAGTTGCAGTGGGGGATAGGAGATCATCAGATTGCTTCACGTGGTGTGTGAAAGGACTTTGATCTGCCTGCCCGCCGACGCAAAGGCAGGAAGGCCCCAAGATCATACGGGCACGAACTCGCTAATTCCAAGCGACTCGTAGCATTTCAGAAACAATCCAGACAGGTTCGAGTAGTTGTGTTATCAGGTTGTACCTAGTTTGAATAGACAGCAGCCAAAGGGGATAAGAAGAGGAGGAGGAGGAGGAGGAGGAAGAGGAGGCAATGAGCAGTGGGCCAAACTGAAAGAATTCCCGAACCTCTCCGTCTCGTCTTCCATCTTCCTTCTCAAACACCATTCTCCTCTAATTGAATATTCGGGTTCGGCCACCAAAGTCAACGTGTGTTGCAAGGCAGCTGTTCAGTTTGGTGTTTGCTGCCTCTGCTGGCCGAATACTGACTGAGTGAAGAACGGCCCCCCCCCTCACCCCCTTCACTTGGCCCACCCAACCCAACATCCTCCTTCCCCGAAGTCCCGAGAGCATCGAGACATCTCGTCCTTAACACCAACCTCCCTGACTTACCAGCTGTAACACTGTTATCTTTCTCTCTGCCTACCCAAAGACAAATTTTCTTTACTTCTTTCTCCTCGATCACCGTTACACTTCCTATCTTCTTCTTCATCTTCTCATCCACCACATAGAACCTCCATACGCGTTGCTCAACAGAGTCAAGCTATCCCTACGCCTTCACCTCTCACCTCCAAGATCAAAGCTTTTACTGTCTTCTATTAGAAGTTGAACCTGTTTTAATCATTTCAGCATAGCGGCATCTTGTTTATCAGCTTCCGGAGCTGCTACATCTCTCAACGTGTCTGGTGTTGTTGCCACTGCACGATTCTCGCTACATCACACCTTCCTACTTGGCTGTGTTCCTTTCTATCTAGCCCCTCTTCCTTGGTCTCTTGAATTCGTCTGCTCAATATCAAGACCTTCCAAGATCCTGCAGATCTTTTACCCACTGAAAGGACATCTGGCGCGTTGCGTACAGACGCCCTCACCTCGTCAGTTTGTCATCCTGAGATCATTGACACCCCCACCATCCTCGTTCAAATCTCTCTCCTTTCGACAGAGTCGTGACCACGAGAGTTCCTTCGCGTTGAATGCGTAGCCTCATTTCTCTTGCTGTGACCAGAGCATCGTAGCTCTGCATTCTTTGTCCTCGAGCGTGCTGTGTCGAAATCACTCCATCATCATTCCATCCTTGAAAACGTCCATTTTCACTCTTCTTCCTAGCTCGTATCAGCAGGCTTTCTGCCTCCAAGTGTGAACTGAGGACATTTCGTCTTCAGGCCTCAGATCTGTTGTCGACTTGTTTTCCATCTTTGCGCACTTGCCTCCGAACTGCCCTTCTACCACTCTCCGTTCGTTCCATCGCTTCCAGTCTCTCTCTTGGAATCGAAATTAGTGCACTTCTGTATCAGGATACCTGCTTGTTTGTTCCTTTTTGTCAGCTTCCTGAAGTCTCAATATTCGTCTCTATCTCCTAACTTCCGCGGCCAGATCGTGACTCGACCAAGAGGCTTGTTCCGCACCTGCAGTGACAGGCAGCTTGAACGCGATAGCTCTTTGTGCTCTACTTTCTCTTGGTAAGTGAGCCTTCATAGCCACAAATTACGTCTTCCCATTGCCTTTAAGAGCCATTCCCATGTGCCAGTACTCTGGTAAGAGCAGAGATCTATCCGGGCATTATACTTAAGAGGCGCCTCTGCTTCTATCCAGATGAATTGCTGATAGCCAAAACCAACTGTCCCTGAATCAAGTCTGGAGGACTCCAGTCTGGGCCAATTGTGTTCGTTGGGCATCGGTGTTGGCGAATCAACTTAGGGGACCAAACCGTGGCTGACCAGATCATAGGCTCACTGCTCCTTTGAGAAACTCTCAATCGAGTGCCGCTAGAACTTCAAAATTAACATTCACTTCTACGCTGTCATAAAATTGGCAGCGTGACAGAACTTAATCTGCACCTTTTCAGGTGCACGGGAACCCTCAGAGCCTGTGCCCTACACGGCTATTCTGCGCGCCTGTGCAAGGATCGGTAGCTGGGAAGCTATCAAGAAACAGGATCCATCATTGACGGTAATTTTTCCCTGAACAAAAATCACTACTTAGACATTTCAAGGCTGAAACTGTCCTTTTCGTAGGGCAGACGTGCTGACTTTGGTGTTTGTGGCAGCTTCCGCAACAACCCCCTTAGGAGCCTGCTTGGGATCCCTCGAAAACTTCCGGGCGAACTCCGCGGTTCTTCCTTTCTTCAACCCGCAGACAGCGCGCGGGCTGGCCTCGATTCCAACCAGCCACGCTGGGCACGCTCGGTGTTCGCTTGGAGTCATTTACCTCAGTAAGTATTATTTGACAATATTCTCGGGCTAATCAATGCTTATTGTCTGTTCATCGCTAACCCAGCGCCTGCAGCCGTTGTACCTCCCGAGCCCTGTCTACAGCAATGGCTCCGACCCTCCGCTCCTCTTCCTCCCGTATTCACTCCCGACCCAACACACCACCTGATGCGCCCATGATGGCAAGCACAACTAACTCAGTCACCGAAGCCACGAGGCCCACAAAGCAACGGCGCACGGGCATAGATTCGCGGGAGGCCACCGCTCCGCTACAGAACGCGACGGAGTCGCAGGACAATGGAAGCAAAGACTGGGCCGAGCCTCCTGCAAGAGCGCCGGCCCCTAGCTATGCGGATAGCCCATGGTCAAATCACTGCGATAGTCGGAACCCAGTTCTGAACACGATGCGCCCTTTAGGGACTCGACCTTCTCCGGCAGACTTGCGGAAGGTCGGCTTGATGCCCAAGACAATTCCACCCATAATACCTGCCAAAAGAAGGTCTGGAGTCGAGTCTAATGAGCCTGCGCCACAGAAGGCCAGCTCACTTTATGACATTTCCGCGTTTGCGGCGCTTCCCATTCCCACCTCCGCGGACTTCGACGTGGAGAAGATCCAAGTGGCCGTCAAGGAGGCTCTACGGATGGCGACAGAGACCGACAACATTCCGGTAAGCCGCGGGCTCCTCCACTTGTGGGAATCCTGTGCCAATGATCCCTTTTCATTATCTGTGTTGGAGGGTGTATGCCAAGGAAATCCTGGCTCGCGGGAGAAGTCAGCATTTCAGAGCATCATGCGGGCCGCCTGGAACGAGGTAAAGGCAGAAGAGGTTCGCGCACAGGCAGACGAGGACAAAGAGCAAACAGAGGTTGACTCAATGCCAACTGTGCCTCGCGCTCGATCGGCTAGTAGCGTTTCGTCGTTGTCTTCACTAAATACATTTGAGGACGTTGAGGCCGGGGCGGTCTCAGCACAGCTCCCAGGGTCAGCCCCTGGAATCAAGATTCCCCGCGCAAAGGCCAAACACACCCGTTCCGCCGGACTCAACAAAGGTGCAGCAGACCTCACAGCTCGCCATTCTATGCCACCAACAACGGTCAGCTCTCAACTGAAGCATGCTTTAGAAGAGGACGAGACGCAGTCTGAAGAATTAGACAGAATAGACAGGGTGAAGCGGATCAAGCTTCGAACACAACTGCCAACCATCGTCCCTGCCGAGAGTCAAGTCCGACCCTTACACCCTACTGATATCCCAACCCCAGTTCGCTCACCTACTCCACCTTTCGCCCATCCCTCCGCACCAACGCCCCCTCCACCTCAGCCAGTTGCTCCCGCTCCCTCAGCTGAATTTGTAGCATCAGCCTCTCTCGCCTCCTCCTCTGAAGAAACTGCAGAAAACCTTTCCGACAGTCGAGCCAGCAGTGAAGCTGGTGACAACCGCCGACTCACGCCTACCATGGTGTAAGCACCACAATTCCTGCTTCACTCTTCCTTCTTGTTTACTGCTGGTGTCCTATAGGCTAACATGCATGGTAGTGATGATAGCGATGTTGAAGACGAGAGACCCGACAACGACGAGATCTGCCACGAATGCAACAACAGCGGCAATCTCCTTTGCTGCGATGGTTGTACTAATTCTTACCATTTCTCATGCTTGAAACCCCCACTAGACCCAAACAACCCTCCGGAGGGAGACTGGTATTGCCCCAAGTGTGCCATGCGACGGGCCTTCCGTTCTTTGACTAGCAGGTTTGATCAGCGCTTTGGCAAAAAGGATGTCAAGGACTTTCAGCTTCCAGCCCGCATTCGGGATCATTTCGCCGGTGTTAGGGTGAACAAGAAAGACGGTCAATCCTACGAGGCCATAGTTCCAATGCCAAAGCCTAAAGGTCGACGTGGATACCGTAATGGTACTTACGACGATCCTCATTTGCTGAGGACAGTGGACGCTCTAGGGACTCCCATCTTCTGTTTCAAGTGCGCAGGAAGTGCCGCTAGCGGTCGGCCTATCATCCAGTGCGATGTCTGTCCACTATCCTGGCATCTGGATTGTCTTGATCCGCCTATGGCCGCGCCCCCCGCTCAAGTTCCAGGAAGTGATCTTGCGCACCACAACTGGATTTGCCCTAATCACGCCTGGCATGATTACGTTTACACCTCCAAGGACGAAGAAGGATACGATGTCTACAAGCGTATTCGCCGGCCAAAGCACCCCCGGATGGTCGATATAGACGTTCTCCTCTCCGACGACGAGATCACCCAGATGGAGGATCAGGAAGAAGGCAGCGTCAGGTACCGCGTGTCCGAGCATGGAATCAAACACACCTTTATTAGCCAGGTCAAAAGGCCAGTAGCCCCCATGAATTGTGATTCGACTACCAATATTGACTCTGCCGACAGAGAAAACGCGGAGTATCAACTACTGAAAGCAAATGCGAGCAAGTTCCTCGATCATGCAACCGCCGAGTACGACAAGATTATGTCGCACGCCCGTGCTGCCTTACCCCCACAGACACCGCTTATGACCGACGAGGATGCGAGCACCACAATCTCGAATTCCCGCACCACTGCTGAGCGCCAAGCTGCAGCCAACCTCCTTGCATTTGCTCAGCGGGAGCACATCACTCCTCCAGGTGCCAACGATAGAATGAGCTTGCTGATTGACCAACTCCGTGCCAACGCTCCAGAGATCCGCTCCACAGCCGACACTGAGATAGCCTCGCTACAGGCCTTGAAGGATCTCATCGACCGGCGCATCCGGGATTTATCAGCCCAACCACAATAGTCATAACCGACTAAATCCCGGATGCGCCGGTCGATGCTCGGGCCCCGGCCCCAGGAATATCCTTTCTTCAGAGGATGCAAGCGGTGCTCGAGAGACGGCTTAATGTCTTATTTTTACTGTGGCACACAAGCCACGCATATATTATTATTATGACGACGATTTGATACGATAATTTGTCTATTTGCTGTGATGTTATTATTAAGAGGTAAGTTGCCACCTCTCGCAGATGGCCCGTTTCATGGGCTACAAGAAGGGAGAGCGTTTTTCTAACAGATTCCTACCAGGCCTGCTGTTGCATGTCGGACCACACAGTGTTTCAACCATTTGGAAGATTCAGAAAACATACCATTTGGCGCAATATCATTATTTCCGCATCGGCTATCTTGAGAGACTTTTTGTTTTCTGACGACGGTTTTGTGTTCTTTATTTTTTTGCGTCTGTTGTTGTTCATGGACGTTCGGCGTTACCAGCTCTCTCTCATACATGGCGGTTTTATTCTATCATTTTTTAGAAAGGTTCACCTTTTCTCTGTCCAAGGGAGCATGCCTGGCTTTTTGTTTTCTGTATTCTCCATCGAAGAAGAGGCCTGCTGCAGAGCGGCGATCGACAGGGCAGACTAGAGAGGAACAACTCCTCTCATTTGAGACTGCTACTGAAAGTAGCCGATCTCAAGTCCTCATGTAAATCGATTTTGTTCTACACTTTTCTTTTATTGTGTGTTTGTCAGGTTTCTTAAACGTTCGCCGATTGCATCTCAACGCATGGAACATGTTTCTCACTCGCAGTTTGCATTGGGTGGAAGAGACAAACAGGTCATCGAGCTCTGAATTCATTTTTCGTACTTGCATCGTTTGACCTCTCTGCTGCCCGTCGTAGGGATTTTGTAGAGTTGGCTGCATTGCGCTCCAATACCCCTCGTACAGTTACAGTCATCGGCATTGTGATTGGGTTCTAGAGATCTTTCATTTTGCTTTCATCTACATTTTGTATGCATCTAGTAAGGGGAAGTGGTGGTGTCTGATGTCTAGCCCGGATGTCGATAGGATTTGGGATTTCTTACCGAAGTCAGTGGGGAAACATGTCTATTATCGGGGAAGAGATGCAACCCATTGCGAGAAAGTCGGGATACAGTACACTATGGATTGCAAGAAGGGCTTTCTTTCTCTTGGAGAACTTCACAGATACTAAATTCTACGACCAAAGCAGGGCTGATACGCTCAGATACTTTAACAGATTCCTTTCCAGGGACTTTGAACTCAATGGTGCATGTGTGGTATACAAAGTTTGTTTTGTTTTTCTTTGTCAAGTAGATTTCCTTTGGGGTTTTTGCTGATTTTCTTATACGGGTGGGTGGGGGGCGGGTTGCTTTGATTGCTGCCGTGGGAGTTGATGTATTGCAGGAGTGTGAGCCGGCTCCGATAGGGTCGAGGGATGAGCCATGGCGAAGTCGTGGATCCAGAACAGGGAAGGAGATGCAGGCTTAAACGAAATTTGCGCAAGCTGGGTTATAAGGTCCACTGTAAACGAGTAGATTCACAGGAACTTTTTGGGCATGTTGTTGCGGCGGCGTTTGTAGAGGATATAAGCACCGGCAAGGAGACCCTGGAAGGCGATGATGCAGAAGATGAAGAAACCCATGCGGGGTGCGGAAGAGGTGATGCCTGAATAGGGAGTCATTAGTTTCAAATGATGTTGGATGGACCTTCTGGTGCAGAGGGGAAGCGTGCGTACCATTCAGAACTTCCTGGGTCAAGCTCAAGTGCGATGAGCGCAGGGTCTCCTGCAACTGGGAGAACCGGCCGTGGTAGTCCTTGCCTGCCAGATCCCGCTGGATGGCCTGCAGGATGTCTTCCATCTTCTGGAGTCTGGCTTCAAGGTTGGCCACTTGGTCCTTGGTGGCCGATTTCTGGAGCAATTCCACATGACGGTTCTCGCTCTTGGTTCCCTGGTTACCGATCTCGCGGACGATGTTGTTCGTCGCATGGTTGATCAGTTGAATGCGGCCAGTGAGGTCGACAAACTGCTCAGTCACCGAGCGAGCGTCACCTGAGCGAGCCTCCTGCTGCTGTTGCTGTTGCTGGGTACCTTGGTCCTGAGCAGCAATCGGTTGCTGGTTCTGGTCGACATTCTGCTGCTGAACAGGGATGTTGCTGCCAGCTCCAGACTCGGTGGACTTGACGACAAACTTGAAGACTTCGAAAGAGTCGGGATTCTCGGGGGTTGCAGCGGTGACGCCAAAGTAGTTGCCGGCTGGGAGAGTAACCTAAAAGAGGTCAGCCACAGGCATCATGATCCGAGATGCAGAGCAAGGCTACCTTATCAGTCGAAAAGCACAGCTTGTCGTCGACAGTAACCTCCAGAACTGCGTTGGTGTGTTTGATGCGGACACTAGAAGGGCGCCCAAGATTCCGGTAAGGATAGTCACAGTGCCCAAAAGCTAAGCTGTCCACGCTCCTGTGGCTCTTGTAGTCCGTCGAGCCGTCGTTGAGAAATCCTCTAACACTGCCTCCCTGTGCAACAAGTTAGCCATGCTCGGTTCCATACACACGGGCCATACACATACTCTTCCGCCATGGCTGTCAATGACGAGGGCAAACCCGTCGAATTGGTTGACAGTGTAGATACTGGAAGTCCCAATTTTGTCCTTCCCATCTTTCGCATACCACACCTGGAGGTTACCACCTCCTCGCTCAGGGCCCGTCGCTCGGAACTCGAACTCCGCAGTCCATTCTGACTGAGTTATACTAGGAAATATAAGGACACATTCAAGCCGTTGTCGCCTCGTTGATAACTTACGGAGACTCAGCCCAAGCATATCCCCTCGTATTTCCAGGGTAAGGAGGTGTGAGAATGACTTTGTTAGACAGCTAGAACGCAGTCAGTACTTGGGAAAGCCAAAGATTGTCGCAATTTGCATGGGGATCAGTTCATACAATATCAGGGGTATGCGCTTCGCCCTTCACTTGCCAGCCCGGAATGAAACCTGAACTCGGTGTGCGTGATAGCCTACAGCGAGGTCAGCATGAAGTCGGAAAGCAGGGTGCGGCCACAGAGTAAGGAAGGTGAGTTGTACGCAGGGCCATAACCGAAGCTGGAGCTCTCAATCACAGATTGAGCAGTCGCGACGGCGAGGAAAGAGAAGAAAGAGGCGGGGGTCTTCATGACGTCGGTTAAATCGGAGATTCGTCGAGGATTAGTGACGCTGTCACTAAGACCGGAACAAATAAAGCAGGGGATCGAAAGAAAATGGTCGATAACAAGGCAGAGGTTGGCAATAAGAAAAAGGACCCCAAGCAAGACACCTCAGATTACAAAGAAGCAAATAGAGCTGGAGCTAGGTCGGATGTATCAGTAGGAAGATCGTCACTGGTCAGAGGGATCTCTGCGGTTCAACAACGCGGAGACAATGCGCGAAGTGGTCCACCCAACCACAATGGCGATCACGCAAACACGAAGTTCCTTGGCGATTGAAGCAGTGGCAGGAGAGATATCAAGAAGGTGACGGATTTCGATCGAGGAGAGGACGTGAGAATGACGGACTCCAAAGTCCGAAGCGGTGGCCAAGTCCATTATCTGAATATAAGGGACTAAATAAAGCAATTGAGGGGGAAAACAATAATTAAGGGACAAACTGGCCTTTCATCGAGTCTCCGTCCCTGACCGCCGTCATCACGTGTCAATTCCCCCGGATTGGCATGCAACTAACGGTACCAACTGTACTAACTGTACCATGGACCTTTGCTATTCCACCGATCGTCAGCTTTCTCCAGTCCTAACTTCACTCCTTTGCTTTCATTTTCTTTTTCTTTTTTCCTTTCACACTGCCTCTGCGAGCGCGTCATGCGCAGTCTCTCCAATGACTGAGCTTTACCCTTCATTGGCCCAGTGCGCCATCGTCGCGACAGCCTTCAAGATTCTTCTTTTCCCCGCATAGTACGTGGTCGGCAGAATTCCCCGATGGTCCTCTTCGACTGATGCTGACTACCGGCCTCCATTACAGCAAATCTACGGACTTTGAAGTGCATCGGAACTGGCTTGCGATCACACATTCGCTGCCCGTTCAGGAATGGTACTACGAGGTACAATGACACCACCATCATGGGAGACTGAGCGATCAAGCTAATAACAGTCAATGGCGGCTAGAAAACGTCGGAATGGACCCTCGACTATCCTCCCTTCTTCGCAGCCTTCGAATGGCTTCTTTCACAAGCAGCTCCCTATGTGGACCCTGCAATGCTGGTGGTCAAGAACCTCAACCATGATTCGTGGCAGACGGTATACTACCAGAGAGCTACGGTGATTGTCACCGAACTTGTCCTTTTGTTCGCGCTCAGCAGGTATATTTCCTCTCCCATACTCTGTCTTGTGTCTTAGGTTTCCAGCTGACCAGGCCTACTCATCCTTCAGATTCGTCAAGTCCGTGCCTGAGCAGAACAGACATCTCGCGCATATCGCCAGCCTGTCCATCCTCTTGTCTCCCGGGCTGCTCATCATTGATCACATTCATTTCCAATATAACGGCTTTCTCTACGGTCTTTTAATCCTGTCGATTGTTCTAGCCCGAAAGCAGTCAACGTTGCTCTACAGCGGCATCACTTTTGCTGCCCTGCTGTGCTTCAAGCACATTTACCTGTATCTTTCGCTCGCCTACTTCGTCTACTTGCTGAGAGCCTATTGTTTGGACCCCAAATCGGTCTTCCGGCCTCAGATTCTTAACACGATCAAGCTGGGAATTTGTGTTGTGGGTATCTTCGCTTTGGCATTTGGCCCATTCGCCTCTTGGGGCCAATTACTTCAACTGAAAGACAGACTCTTTCCATTTTCGAGAGGGCTATGCCATGCCTACTGGGCACCAAACGTCTGGGCAATGTACTCGTTCGCTGATCGCGCTCTGATTCCACGTTCGTACTCAACCCTGGAGTATAGTCGCATGGTTTGACTGACCTGGTTTGATAGTTGCTCCTCGCTTGGGGCTCCCAGTCAATCAGGATGCTCTGACT